TGCTTTATTTTCCATTCTTCAACCTCTCTCCCATTGTCATTAAGTTGTATCTCTTTCTCTTTTCTATAAATACTATCGCGGTTGCTTCTTAAAAGAGCTATTATCTTTATTTCTAAGGACTCCGGCTTTAAAAGTTGATTGCTATTCTGACCTAGAAGTCTTGATTTTTTCCTCATTAGTAGCTTATAACCTTTTTTATATTTTTGAAGCTCCTGGATGCCAAAAACTAGAAAGAAGTAATCTTTTTGTGACTTTTAAATCCCGAGTCCTTTTTGGGACTCCACATCCCTGCTTCGAATAAGTGCAATAAAATTTACACCTCTTTACTTTTATATATAATAATCTTTCTTAATCCTTCACGTTTTGATATGCTAGTTAAATTTTTCTAAAATAATAATTTTGTTGTGAAACCGAAATAAATAAGCCTATATTAAATACTTTCGGCTTTTGTAAAGTATTAAGTCAAAAACAATTAGGATCTACAAAACAGAATTTTTAACACATTAATTAAATATAATTAGAATAACTTAAGTTCATTTAACCGTATTTTTATAGTGACGTGATTAACGTCAATTATTTAGTTTGTTCTTAAGAATATAACCGTCTTCTCCGTTTTAAGAAAGTTTTAATACGGCTTACTCTCGGATAATACTTTATGAAAGAAAATAGTAATCAAGATACTTTGGCCTTTTAATAGTACGTCCTGTTCTAAGGATATATTAGGTGACCCTGACCCAGTTTTGTCATCACTTATTTGTATTTTACTTTTATACAATATTGATTTAACTTTTATGTGAGAAACTATATATATACACCATTATTTGAATTTTGTTAAAAGTTGCACTGACATTATTTGTACAAAAAATAAAAATAAAAAAATTGATGTATGTGAATGGGTGTATCTGCAAATATTGTATGTATGATACTTCTGGAAGTTAACCATCATTTGACAGTGGTTTAGCACTTTTGTCGGTGGAAGCATAAACGTAAACGCACCAATATTTAATAATTTTGGCTTCACACACAGAGACACCATCATTAAGCCTTCTAAACTCTTCTACACAATCTTTTGGACAACCTTAAAGTGCATTTGGATATACCTAGTGCAGTCATATTATTATTATTTTCGCTTATTTATTATTTAATAAATAATCAAGATTAATGTAATTGTAAGATATATTTGAGTAACAAGATTCAGTGATCGTATAGATGCAAGTGAGATGCGAGACGTATTCGTTTATCAAGAATATGATGATATTATTGTTTTCGTTTGAGTTATGCGGTTCAGAAGAATTAGTATTTTAATTCAAGCCATAAAGACCATAACTAAAGAAAAGTTTAAAATTTGTATTTATTTTTTGTTTTTTCTAAGATCTAAATTAAGTTCAAAGTTCTTCAACAGCGCTTCTCGGTGACAAGACATGTATGGTCTTCTTTGAGTATCCGCGTTCTTTATCTTTATTCTTTATTTTTTAACGGTTTCTTTGCATGTAACTTTTCTTATTGATTTATTTGTAAATATTATTTTAAATATTGTAATAAAGAACAAAAGAAAAAAAAAAATATGCAATTTTTTTTTTTTTTGTTCTATCACTTCAAGTTTTAAAGATATTAGGGTTCAAATCTCAATTATTTGGTTAAGTTGAAGGTAATAGGAATACTATAAGAAAACATACTGTATGCAAAATAAAAATAAAATTTTGTTGGCCTGTGAAATCAAAACCTCATAAATTTTTATTTTTTACAGAACACACTACCAGGAACGTGGTGGCGATCGAACTAGGAATCTCAAGCTTATGAAGTGAGCAATCTACCACTACAGCACTACCGTATTTATGTTTAAAAAGTTATACTATGGTAAGAAATAAATCAATAGCTAATTGTCATCAAATGGAAATAACAAGATTTTTTTTAGGTCGACAATTTTTAAATTCTGATTACACTGAAAGATTATTATTTTTTTTATTAGTAACTGATATTTGTATTTTTCAATTTTCAAGGCCATTTTAGAATCCTTTTATTTTTTTAGTGTTGATTAAATTATTTGTTGATATCAAAATGTATATGTATATCAAAAAAAGTCAGAAACTACTAAAAATAATTAGGCGGGGAAAGTAGGCCTAATAAGCTTGGGATGGGAAGAAAATTGTTTTGAAAATTAATAAACGTCCCCTCCCATTTATTAGGCACGCAAGAGTACATAGTTTGCAACTTGCTCAAGATTTTTGTACCTTCGGTTCAAGAATGTTGAGCAAATGAATAGCAATAACGTTAAACAGTTTTAAAAAACATTGACTCAATAAATAACAAGACTGTTGATAAAAGATAAAATTGTTTTGTTTGCAATTTTCTCTAAACAATTTGATTAAGTATTATGTACTATTTATAACGTAGCAAAATATTTAGATGGTGGTGTGATCATTTACATTCACAATTCTTTTTTATTATACTTAACAATCTCCGTGTCAATTAATACAGATTGAGAGTCGTTAAGCATTAA